CCTCTGTCGCTGATCTTCTTGCCCGCTCAAGGCATTATGAATGATGAATGTGGAAGGGTTGGGGCGCTCCAAATTCGTAAGAGACTTCTTCAAAATATTCGCTGTGGCAAATTCTTGATTTTTGGAGCGCTCCAGCTTCCTGACTGCCAGGAAGTGATGAAAGATTATCAGAGGGGCAACCCAAACCCACCAGGTCGCGTACCTTCGCAAGCCTAGCCTGCAAAATCTTCAGATGTTCACTTGCTATCAATGTTGTGCTCAACATGTGGCAGCTACTGAAACCACATTGCAATTCTGCAATATTCATCAATATTCCATTTAGCCTTATTATGTCTTATTATTGTCTTATTATGTCTTATTCTAATCAATGTGTGGCAACTGACAGTCGAATTGTCTTCATGAAAGGATATGCAAATTCTGCTGCGGGCAGGATGACGTATTTAGCTGGCCTCATGTAAACCCCCTTGGTTGGTTGATGGTTCACCCCACGGTTGGTTGAAGAGAAGGCCATTGTGTGGGTAGTAATTCTACTAGGTACGCCACACGCCGATCCACCCTATTTCAGGATGTTGAGGTTGCCTCTCTGTCAAGCGGAGAATTCTAGCTGAAATCGACCAGGGGATCCTGGCTCTCAGGGGAACTGGACTATGACGGCTGTGATATCATCGCAATAGTCCTTGACGGCATCAAGTCATGCAAGCGCAAGAAATCTAAAGCTGAAGGCACTTCCATATGCTCCAGGATTGGACCATGTCAAGCGTTTACAAACAACAAGTGACACAAGTGGCGTGGGCGAAGGTGCCAGGTGCCAGGCAGTTTCTGCATTTCGCCAGCATTGAAGTGCAGCTTCATACAAGTCCTCACGCTGTCTGACAGGTCTGTCAAGCAAATGGAAATTCAGAGGCTGGCGTCGCATGGCTTTGGGACAAGCTTAAGTATCAGAAGCAACTGCGCGGCAAGACAATGCCAAAGTATGTTGACCACAGCGCTGCTGTCATCACAGCCAAGCACAGTTCTAGACAAGGTCACATTGAGCGTGTTGAGTCCTGCGTAGTCTTTTTGAGACCTTGACCTGGCAAATTGCAGCACAAATAGTTACAGGTTGGCAAGGCATCGGTGTTGACTCTCTCTCCGAAAAACTAGCACGCTTGACATTTTGATACACATATAAAATGTGAGATACACGCGCCGGCTATTGAGAAATATTATATCTAGCACTTAGAAGTACATATGTCATTTGTTTAAATCTAAATATATGCATGGCACGCGTATATATATATATATGTGATTCTACACTATACATATATATATATATACATACATATATATATATATATATTATATATATATATATATTGTACAATGTAGATTATAATGACTGCATCATAGCAGCAAAAAGCCAACACGGATGGAAGCAGGCCTTGTAGGGTAGAGGTGGCAGCTTTCACCACCGTATCCTTGACACATGCCGAATTCACAATGCCACTGATCAGCAACGCAACTAGTAGCTGCAGTTGCAACAAACCTCTGGGTTTCAGTGACAGAATGCATTCAGAATCCCGTTTTTCCGAATGTTGCATCAACATGCATCAACATGCATCAACTATTTTGGTGATTTTCAGACTTCTTGGACCTTGGAAGCCCAAGTGACCGATGTCATGAACTCCCAAACACCATCAGATGCCTTGGCCGAGTCCGTCAGAGCATTTGTTTCTGGCGTTCACGATCTTTCACGTGTGCAGGGCATGGTGAACCAGCATGGGCAATATAAATCAAACATTTTTTGCGAAAGATATCTGAAGATGAATTCCATTTCACCGAGTGCGCTTGGGCATCCCACCCCATATTCCAATCCAAGGCGCCAAAATCATGAAAGGTTTATGTTCAGCGGAAAAATTGACATATCTCACATCAGGTGTTGCAATGACACCTGAGTGCCGGGCTCGAATTCACTCCAGTTGTTTCAACGACAGGCACAAAACCAAACGTGCAAATGCAATCATATAGCGACTTTAGAAGCCTTTAGTACATATAGTACAGGTCTAGGCAAGCATAGGCAAGCAAACCGGTGATTGCCGTCAAAATGGGCCAGATATGCTAGGCGGTTTCTGAGTGTTTCTTTTGCAGCAGAAGGCACCAATATCCTTGACCATGGTATCTCCGATGCTACGACTCATGCTCAGGCCTGCAAAGATATCTCAGCATGTCTCAACAGTGCTTTGTCCACATCATCCAACTACTGCATATCGGATTCATAATTCAGTTGGCCAGGCTCCAGGTAGTCAGAGAGACTGGATAATTAGGTTCCAGCCTCCGAACCCTTCACTATCTTGACATAAACTCTGCCCTGTTCCAATCACTCCAGCTTTGAGCTAACGTTGACCGGGCGGAGAACCAGTGCCACTCCTGGCTTTTCTGTGTCTTTGACAAAGATTCGATGCTCCATCCTGCAGCGCTGACATACGGAACATTCGACACTGAGATGGCTTTCAAACACACAGGTTACATAGATGACGTTGTCAACTATAGGCGCTTCATAATTGGACCCCAATGAAATGCGTTGCAACATGGAACATTTTGCAGCGGTGCTTCCACGATCCTACTGACTGGGTTTCCAAGCTGAGGGATCTCTGCTAAAACTACTTATTGTTACATTGTACATAAAGTGGCTCAATTACACAAGCAAGGCCTCTGATGAAATGATATATGAAATCAATTGAAATCAACACATTGCATTGACTCATGTCATACTCTGTGACTTCGACAATGACAACACGCCCTCAAACTTGCAAGCCCGGTCCATCCGTCAGAGTAAGCCTGACATAAGGTCAGGATAGGTCAGGTTGCAATTTCTGTCTTTGAGTCACAAGGAAGCAACAGTGTCCCACGCATGGACAAACAAGTGGCATATGTGCAATTAGAAAGTGTGGCAAAAAAAACTTATGTGGAAGGTCCAGCCGTAAGTTCAGACATCAAAGCAGTGCAGTACAGTACTGAACTTCCCTGTCATATCCGCAGGGAAGACCCTGGGACCCTCTGATTGCACTTAAGATACCTTGAGCCATTCTGGCCATTTTGCATCTCAAGGCTAGGCACGAACTGGCAACCAATCAAACTCCTGTCAAGTTGTTCTTGAACTCCATCTCAGGGCCTCAGTGTGAACCTCCCCTCCCAACTGCTCGATGCGCTTCTTCTCGCTGTCCATTGAGGGCCTCTGCAAGACTTTGCTTCATCAATGCATGAAGGAAAGCGGAGAAGGTAAAGATCTGGAAGGGATATTATGACGGGATATGAATCTGAAATAATCTGAAGATGCCTGAGGGGATGTTGCACCCGTCTTTCACCGTCTTTCCAACAGTCTTTCTTCGTCCATTGATCTTCCAAGGTGCTTGCGGTGACTCTTCTTTGCAGCGAGTGTTCTTCGCGGTGACTCTTCTTTGCAGTGACTCTTCTTTGCAGCGATTCTTCTTTGCAGTGGCTGTTCTTTGCAGTGGCAGTTCTTTGCAGTGACTGTTCTTTGCGGTGACTGTTGATGTCAATGCTGACGAAACTCGGTAACACGGAAGTACAGATTCCGAAACTTCCTTTGATAAATGACTCACATAAAATGCCCGTTCCCAACTAAAGGCAACATTTAAAACATCTAGAAAGGTAACTCTGTGAGAATCCTCAGTTCCCATGCAATCGCTGCATTTGACATAATTTCAATCAAAAAACATTGACGCTGCAAAATCCTGCATTCAGCTTGCGGAAAGAAGAAAAAAGACGACCTTCCAGATTTGCTCTCCCACAACTAAATTGGAAAAAGACACGGCTTGTCATGTGCCTGTATATGTATAAGAGTATTTATACAATTTATGTTGTTTAGTTCGGAAGCATCAAGAGTGATGCAGGAGGGTAGTAGGGATAAGAGCAATATGGATTAATGTGATTAATATACGTATGTTTGTTTCAAACAACTCATAACTGCATGCCGACAAGCAGGACTCCAAGATATGGTACGAACGCTTCTTTTCACACCGCAGCCTTGGACTAGAGACTTCGGGACTGCATATGCAGTTCCCCGACCAAGCCGACAGCCTTGTGAATGCTGAACACCATGCAATATAAGAAATAAGCAATTAAAAAAAAAAAACATATCAGTTCCAAAAGGATTTGTCTTGTAGGTTTTAGCGTCAACATGGGGGCTCCAACTCCCAACCGAGAGTAAGCTTAGCACCTGCGACAACATCTGAAAAACGACAAACTTTGCAGCTTGTTGTAACTTGTTGTCACTCCTTATCTAGCTTCGAGATGCTTCGAGACTTTCGGGTTCTGAATCACCTGAGCTCACTCTTCAGTCGGCTGCCATGTGTGGATTGTCTTCAGATTTTTTCTGAATTGCTCCCCGGTGGCCCTCTACTCATGACCTGGGCAGCGTGAAACTGTTTGAAATTATTTTGTTTCTCGAGCTTTGCTCGGGGTCATCCTATGTCGCTGATCTTCTTGCCCGCTCAAGGCATTATGAATGATGAATGTGGAAGGGTTGGGGCGCTCCAAATTCGTAAGAGACTTCTTCAAAATATTCGCTGTGGCAAATTCTTGATTTTTGGAGCGCTCCAGCTTCCTGACTGCCAGGAAGTGATGAAAGATTATCAGAGGGGCAACCCAAACCCACCAGGTCGCGTACCTTCGCAAGCCTAGCCTGCAAAATCTTCAGATGTTCACTTGCTATCAATGTTGTGCTCAACATGTGGCAGCTACTGAAACCACATTGCAATTCTGCAATATTCATCAATATTCCATTTAGCCTTATTATGTCTTATTATTGTCTTATTATGTCTTATTCTAATCAATGTGTGGCAACTGACAGTCGAATTGTCTTCATGAAAGGATATGCAAATTCTGCTGCGGGCAGGATGACGTATTTAGCTGGCCTCATGTAAACCCCCTTGGTTGGTTGATGGTTCACCCCACGGTTGGTTGAAGAGAAGGCCATTGTGTGGGTAGTAATTCTACTAGGTACGCCACACGCCGATCCACCCTATTTCAGGATGTTGAGGTTGCCTCTCTGTCAAGCGGAGAATTCTAGCTGAAATCGACCAGGGGATCCTGGCTCTCAGGGGAACTGGACTATGACGGCTGTGATATCATCGCAATAGTCCTTGACGGCATCAAGTCATGCAAGCGCAAGAAATCTAAAGCTGAAGGCACTTCCATATGCTCCAGGATTGGACCATGTCAAGCGTTTACAAACAACAAGTGACACAAGTGGCGTGGGCGAAGGTGCCAGGTGCCAGGCAGTTTCTGCATTTCGCCAGCATTGAAGTGCAGCTTCATACAAGTCCTCACGCTGTCTGACAGGTCTGTCAAGCAAATGGAAATTCAGAGGCTGGCGTCGCATGGCTTTGGGACAAGCTTAAGTATCAGAAGCAAATGCGCGGCAAGACAATGCCAAAGTATGTTGACCACAGCGCTGCTGTCATCACAGCCAAGCACAGTTCTAGACAAGGTCACATTGAGCGTGTTGAGTCCTGCGTAGTCTTTTTGAGACCTTGACCTGGCAAATTGCAGCACAAATAGTTACAGGTTGGCAAGGCATCGGTGTTGACTCTCTCTCCGAAAAACTAGCACGCTTGACATTTTGATACACATATAAAATGTGAGATACACGCGCCGGCTATTGAGAAATATTATATCTAGCACTTAGAAGTACATATGTCATTTGTTTAAATCTAAATATATGCATGGCACGCATATATATATATGTGATTCTACACTATACATATACATATATATACATACATATATATATTATATATATATATATTGTACAATGTAGATTATAATGACTGCATCATAGCAGCAAAAAGCCAACACGGATGGAAGCAGGCCTTGTAGGGTAGAGGTGGCAGCTTTCACCACCGTATCCTTGACACATGCCGAATTCACAATGCCACTGATCAGCAACGCAACTAGTAGCTGCAGTTGCAACAAACCTCTGGGTTTCAGTGACAGAATGCATTCAGAATCCCGTTTTTCCGAATGTTGCATCAACATGCATCAACATGCATCAACTATTTTGGTGATTTTCAGACTTCTTGGACCTTGGAAGCCCAAGTGACCGATGTCATGAACTCCCAAACACCATCAGATGCCTTGGCCGAGTCCGTCAGAGCATTTGTTTCTGGCGTTCACGATCTTTCACGTGTGCAGGGCATGGTGAACCAGCATGGGCAATATAAATCAAACATTTTTTGCGAAAGATATCTGAAGATGAATTCCATTTCACCGAGTGCGCTTGGGCATCCCACCCATTCCCACCCCATATTCCAATCCAAGGCGCCAAAATCATGAAAGGTTTATGTTCAGCGGAAAAATTGACATATCTCACATCAGGTGTTGCAATGACACCTGAGTGCCGGGCTCGAATTCACTCCAGTTGTTTCAACGACAGGCACAAAACCAAACGTGCAAATGCAATCATATAGCGACTTTAGAAGCCTTTAGTACATATAGTACAGGTCTAGGCAAGCATAGGCAAGCAAACCGGTGATTGCCGTCAAAATGGGCCAGATATGCTAGGCGGTTTCTGAGTGTTTCTTTTGCAGCAGAAGGCACCAATATCCTTGACCATGGTATCTCCGATGCTACGACTCATGCTCAGGCCTGCAAAGATATCTCAGCATGTCTCAACAGTGCTTTGTCCACATCATCCAACTACTGCATATCGGATTCATAATTCAGTTGGCCAGGCTCCAGGTAGTCAGAGAGACTGGATAATTAGGTTCCAGCCTCCGAACCCTTCACTATCTTGACATAAACTCTGCCCTGTTCCAATCACTCCAGCTTTGAGCTAACGTTGACCGGGCGGAGAACCAGTGCCACTCCTGGCTTTTCTGTGTCTTTGACAAAGATTCGATGCTCCATCCTGCAGCGCTGACATACGGAACATTCGACACTGAGATGGCTTTCAAACACACAGGTTACATAGATGACGTTGTCAACTATAGGCGCTTCATAATTGGACCCCAATGAAATGCGTTGCAACATGGAACATTTTGCAGCGGTGCTTCCACGATCCTACTGACTGGGTTTCCAAGCTGAGGGATCTCTGCTAAAACTACTTATTGTTACATTGTACATAAAGTGGCTCAATTACACAAGCAAGGCCTCTGATGAAATGATATATGAAATCAATTGAAATCAACACATTGCATTGACTCATGTCATACTCTGTGACTTCGACAGTGACAACACGCCCTCAAACTTGCAAGCCCGGTCCATCCGTCAGAGTAAGCCTGACATAAGGTCAGGATAGGTCAGGTTGCAATTTCTGTCTTTGAGTCAAAAGGAAGCAACAGTGTCCCACGCATGGACAAACAAG